GGGGTGTCTATTGGAAAACATGAATCAGAAGTAGGAAATACTCTTGTTTGAAAGAAACAAGAGCAATTTGGGGCCAAAAAACGTATATGCTATGATTAACTGGCCCTCTTTCTCCGATCATCTGTTTTCCCATTGTGTGAAACTCCTTCAGCATAGGGATAAGGGATAACGACTCTATGGATATAAAGAATTTTTCACCATGGTAAAACTCGCTAACCCGCTGTACACTGAGTGGATTTTGGAGGCAATTAAAAAGGTCAAGAAGCAAAAACAGCGGCCATCAGAAGAGAGGATATGCAATGCTGTGTCTTCATCCCATGGTTTGGATCGCAAAACTGTCCTGGAACAGTTGGAACTGAGTGTTAAAGATGGGACTATTTTAAAAGTTTCTAACAAAGGACTTAATTCCTACAAGGATCCAGATAACCCTGGGCGAATAGCACTTCCTAAACCACGGAACCATGGAAAGTTGGATGGTAAACCAAATGTGGACTGGAATAAACTGATTAAGCGGGCAATTGAGGGCTTGGCAGATTCTTCTGGTTCATCTTTGAAGAACATTGAACGTTACCTGAAAGGGCAGAAGGACGTGTCAGCTTTGTTTGCCAGCAGTGCCCCTTCTACCTTTCACCAGCAGTTGCGGTTGGCCGTTAAGCGTGCCGTTGGCCATGGCCGGCTCCTTAAAGATGGACCTTTGTATCAGCTCAACACGAAAGCAGCCACAAATGCAGATGGGAAAGAGAGTTGTGAATCTCTTTCTTGTCTTCCTCCAGTTTCACTCCTTCCACACGAAAAAGATAAGGTAAGAATTGCATGCTTGCTGAACCTTGCTAGCGGTCAGGAATGATACCCAGGTCTACCTTGAATGGTAGAGTTGCAGAATTGTAGAAATGTAACTACTAAGCCAGGGGTAGGCAACCTTGGCTCTTTTATGACGTGTGGACTTCAACTCCCAGAATTCTGGCTCAGGAATTCTGGGAGTTGAAGTCCACACGTCATAAAAGAGCCTAGGTTGCCTACCCCTGTACTAAGCTGCGTGCTGGAATTTTCCAGTTCAGTTCTTGGCTCAGAAGCTGACTTTATGTCATTATGTCAAGACCTCTCTTTATCAGGCTATGCCATCTGCAGTGTCAGGATTACAGTGCTACCTTGCAAGGTTATTGAGAGGATGTTTGAGAATGTACATGTAAATTCTCTAAGGTGATACATAATCGATAAGCAGCCTGTTGAATTTTGTAAAAAAAAAAACTCTTGAGAGAATCATTTTTGAAGGATGGCACATGTACTGAATTTATCTAGTGCATAATTGTCACTGCTGCTGGTTGTTTCACGGGAGAGTAAAATTTGTCAGTGGGAATATTTTTTCATTATCTTATTAAGTATGTACGTTATTCAGATTCCCAGATCCTCTCAAAAATAGGGATGGATTTAATATGGCAAGATTAAAATTTAGTTTTTAACATAATGGTATCAATTGATAATCCTAAATTTGGGGGCCTTGGGTGGTTTTAACCACCCCTGGCTGGTTTTAAATGAGCTTTGTAATTAAATAGTGCTCATCCTGGTAGTACTTGGATTAGAGACCACCAGGAACTCCAGGACTGTAGACTAGATTGGGAAATCAAGATGGTAATTGGAAATCATGTTGATGTTATTGCCAAGAACATCTGGTGTTTGTGTTTGTATCAGAAATCAAGCTTGACTCAAAGGTGTCCTTACAATAATAGCATTTGTGTGTATTTAAAAGAATATAACAGTCGTATCTGTTACTTGATATTATTGAGTTGTTGTTACATTATTGTTCAAGATAGGCTCCAACTTTTCAGTTTTCTCTTCTCTGAGCTACTAACTTGCAGAATGTTATAAAATATATTCAATGTTTGCTATTACAATCTTTTCTGAAACAGAACTCTTACCTTGTCTGGGAATGGTATAAGGCAGGGGTAGTCAACCTTGGCTCTTTTATGACTTGTGGACTTCAACTCTCAGAGCCAGCTAAGCTGGCTCAGGAATTCTGGGAATTGAAGTCCAGGAGTCATAAAAGAGCCAAGGTTGACTACCCCTGGTATAAGGTCTCCTGCTTGAACAGGGGATTGGACTAGGAGACCTCCAAGGTCCCTTCCAACTCTTGTTATTCTGAAACTGCATTTATACTTTTAGGTTAGACCCTGGTTATCACCAGAGTGTTTTTAAGTGGTGTGATAAACATACTTTGTTTGCCCTGTTGTTCTTCCTTTAGTCTTTATTGATCCCTTGTTAGTGTTATTCAGTGGTCATCATTAGGGTAATAAGTAAAGGGCTATGCATTGCTTCAGAGTCAAATCCTAAAAGGTATTTTGGAGCATCAGTAAAGCACTTGCCTGTAACTCATAATCAGTTATGACTTCTCCTGAGATCACACAGCAACTGCAGAGGGTGATCCTAGGAAAGGATGCGGCTGATTTAAAGAGGGCAGATGGTACTACATTAACAGTGGCATCCAGCTAGAGTCCTAGGATGCACTTGAATTCCTTTCACTAGTCGTAAAGCACAGTTGTTTTCAGAAGTAGGGAGAGGATAAAATTGGGAATCGGGATACAGTCGCAAGAGAAGAAAGTTTGAGTGTCATATTTGCTTGATGATCCTTAAATATAATTCCAATGGAAGTGGTGTAATAGTCTGTAACAGTTAAGTTGACAGCAAAGTGTCCACAGAAGGAAGTTGGCAAGCTACTCAATTTTTTTCTAAACCCAAGCTTGTTGGATGACAGATAGTTGGCTCCTAAACTCAGCTCACCTTTACATTGAGTAAGAATAGTATTGGGCAACCTGTTGGACAGCAATGTGACCATCAAGAGTTTTGCTAGTCAAAGATGTAGCTTATGGCAGAGAATTTAGCAAGCTGGGGCTTGAGTCTGCTATATGTTGTCATTGAGTCTGCACGATGTTGTCATTCTAAGGTCTCCTTGAGTTTTAAAGTACCATTGATCTCTGAATGATTTTTCTGTATACAGTATGTCAATTATGTTGACAGTTTTAAAGTTAACCCATTTTCTTTTGAGTCTTGATAGATTTGAAATCTAAGAATGAAGTAAATGAATTGCCAATGTAAAGTCTAATAGATTTATATGTATACAAATATTACTGTGTAACCCTGTTTACATTTTTGGGGAGGATGTTTATTTGTTAGATTTATGTTCTGCCTTGAGTCTTATTTGCCTATCTCCTTGCTAGAGTGACTCTTGTTACATTTACTGTCTTGTTTAAAGGGAAAAGTTCCATATTTCTGGAAACCTACAATCCTTCCCATTTAAGGGGAACTATATTTTGTATATTATAACTTAAACTTTATGACTTGCTATTTAGTACAGGATTGCCTGGATCCTACCATTGGGATTTATTCAGCAAATTATGTTTAAAACTATTTCTTAGGCAATATGTGATTCCAGTCTATAGACTTTAGAGATTGCTGGCCAGTAATTAGCTTATATTTCTTTGTTGATCAGAGTATAGAGATGTTTCTTTTCATTATGGCTATCAGGGAAGCAACAAGTGAATGAGGGAAGAATCTTTTCTCCACCAGACTTGTCACTCACCATCATGGAATTCTTATTTGCTTGTGGGCTACCAGACAAGCTGCTAAAAACAAACCTAGTGTAAACAGATGCTGTTCCAAATCCACATCATCCAAAATAATTGCCCCTTTATCGAACTATTCAAGAAGGTAGTGCCATACACCTTGGAGAACATTTGAATATTTTTGCATGCTTTTTGCTAGTGCGTAAGCAGCACCAACACTTAATTTATTATCTGTCAGTTTAATTTCTCAATTGTAACTCCTTGGAGCATCTTCATATGGTGGTGTGAACGGAGCATGGTTGTTTTTTTAAAGTGTAATATAAAGGAACAGTCTGGAAATCCATATATTTTGATTAACATTGTTTTAGAAGTCCACAAAGAGCCTCTTGGTAATATTTTCTTAAAAGTTCAGGCCCTTAAACAGTGAGACACAGCGTGTTCGTGTTTGAGCTACGGAGCTGTCTGTCTAATACTGGGGTAGGCCACCTTGGCTCTTTTATGACTCGTGGACTTCAACTCCCAGAATTCCTGAGCCAACCAAGCTGGCTCAGGAATTCTGGGAGTTGAAATCCACGAGTCATAAAAGAGCCAAGGTGGCCTACCCCTGGTCTAATACATTTCGTCTCCTTTCATAGTTGTGCTGACGTGTTTTGTAAGGTTAATACAGAGTTGGTCTGGAGTCAGGCACTGCCAAAAACAAATGCAGATAGTCCTCGAATTATAATCACAACTGAGCCCAACATTTCTGTTGCTAAGTGAGGCATTTGTTAAGTGAGTTTTGCCCCATTTTATGATCCCCATTGTCTTTGCATGTTAGAAGATTGCAAAAGGTAATCATCTGACCCTGGGGCACGGCAGCTGTCCTAAATATGAGCCAGTTGCCAAGCGCCTGAATTTTAATCATGTGACCGTGGGATACTGCAATAGTTGTAAGTGTGAAAAATGGTGATAAGTCACTTTTTGGGTGCTGTTGTAACTTTGAACAGTCACTAAATGAATTGTTGTAAGTTGAGGACTACCTGTAAATAGATAAATAGCCCAACATAATTTTCAGAGTGAATTTCCCTAGCCCTCTCATTGCCAGCTGTTCAACACAACTTTAGAAAAAATGTACTTTGATGTGTGGGATCATTTTTACAAAGTTTACTTACTATAAGTTGCAGAAATACTACTGACTTGTAAGCTGAACTATGGTGTGGTTTGTACAGAAATACTTGTTTACTAAAAATACTGTAAAATTTGCAAGTTGTATGTGCAGAACTATTTTCTATATGTTGGCTGGTTGAGTTCAGGTTCTTTTGTAAAATGATCTTGCCATTTTTCAGATACAGTTGAATTATCTAACGTATGACAGTCTTGAAACTTTCTAATAAAATATTTTAAATTATAGCAGCATTCTGAAAGGTCTTGTGGAATAAAAGTTTCCTTATTTTAAAGAGCGATATATGATTCCTTAGGGAAAATTATTTGAGAAACTGAGTGCTTTCAGATATTTTGTGCCTGGAACTCCTGTTGTTTGTTTCTGTTGGAAATTGTGGTCCATAACAGCTGGAGGGACCTATGTTAGGAAAGTCTAGCAGCTGTATATGCTTATATTTTGGAAAACCTCTAAAATAGTTGCTCCTAATTCTCAAAGTAAATGTTTTCTTTGGCCCCCAATGCTTCAAAAGAAACACCATCTAGTAAATTATGGAGAATGCGTGTTTATATTGGCTAATAGCTCAATTCATTGCATGGGAGCCAATGTATTGTGCCAAGACATAAAGACAACTCTTTGTGATTCAAAACTTAATTGACCTGAAACAGTGGTTAGATGATATTGCTTTGTTTGGATCATTGTATTTCAGTTTAATAACCTAAACTAAATATGAGAATGCCTTCACTCTTTTCATGAACTGGCAAACAAACCAGGAAGTGTTCCATTAGCTATAGTTCCTTGTCCAAGACGAACTAATAAATTATGATTGCCAGGGCATTAATATTTTCCCTAGCTTTTAACTGTAATTTTCCAATTTAAGAAGTAGAAAATCTTCCACGTTTGCTTGTTTGGTAATTCATACTTACCTTATTTCTTGGCTGTTCATTGAACTGACTCAACCATTTCCAGCAATTTACCAGCAATTTACTTTTCTTTGCCTTTGGTGAGAGTCTGAATATCTTGGATTTGCAAACTAGCCCAGACACCATGTTCAATTGCAAGGCATTAGAAAAGTTCTGATCCAAAACAGCTGGAGGTTGCCTGGTT